TTCTATGCAGTAAAGTATTGGTCAGCACTTTAGTCAGTTGTACTTGTGATCTACCATTTGGGGTAAGTTTTTATAGATTCTTTTTTAATCTGTTTGAATTTGTAAAATTTATTTAATTCAATCTCTATGTGCCATCTAAAATGACCAGTGCCTGATTTACAGTGGTGGGGACCTATTCTAGAAAAAAAATATCCTTTTTGGTAGCCTCCCAAAAAAAAAATAATTGAATTAAATAAAAGTAAATTTTAACCCACTTTCCCTAGGGACACAAGATGTATAACTAGAAATGAAGAATTAAAATCCACTTACCCTTGGGGTGATAGGATGTAATTAGGTTTCTAAAACAAAAAACGTCGTTTTAAACAGTAAATTGTAGGAGTCATAATTGGCTTTAAAAAAATTATTACTGGTAAAATAAAAAAACACTATTAATATAAACACGTTATTTTAAAACCAGTTTTCTAGAGGAACCCAAGGTTAAAAAAAGCCTTAATTTTGCTACCCACATGATAAATAAATTTAAAAAATTGATAAAAAAATTAGTTTCCATAAAAAAAATTTTTGTTAACATGGTGGGGGCCCCTAGTTGGTAGGGGCTTATAGGCTGCAGCCTACACCAGCCTATAGGTCAACTAGGCACTGAAAATGACTGCTCTTTCTAAAAAAATTATATAAAAATGGCTAGTTCATCAAGTAATAATATGTAATTTAAGCAAAGTTTGGTTGTTAATATATGAGACATTTGATTGGATGTTGTTAAAAACGATTTAATTAAAACTAGTTGAAACTTTTTTTTATAAACTCCATATGATCACTAACATCACTCATTGTGTTTATATTAATGTTGATTTAACAAAACAAAACAAGTAAACAATTCGAGGGCATTATAACAGAGGGGTGTATAAACCTAAATCACGAAAATTGTATTTTCGAGGGAATGAGCCACAAAAAGGGTGGGGCATAGTTCTTTAGTCAGGCGTATCGGTATTTACAATAATTAAAATTTTATTGGTGTTATTATATTAAGTATATGAACCATCTTACATCTCCCGAACATCACATAGAGGCGTATAAACATACACCTGTTATAAATTGTAATTTGGTTCATACGCCCCTTTATTATGAAACCCTCGATATGAAATTATTACAATAAATATAAAAGTGTCAGTAATTTAAAAAATATAATGTGATAAACCTGATATCTAGAGAGATGATCAACCATTTTTTAAAGAACTGTTTATCTTTTATTGGAATTAGATATCCTGACATCTTGTTTTAAATTTCCGCAAGGAAGTACTATTCAAGTAGTTAACTATACTCCGCGGTCGAAATTATAGAGAGTGACTCAAACATAATATAAAAACACTATTGCCATAATGCGTATAAAATATAAAATAATTTTTTATACGGTTCAATATTATTTATCTTTGTGCCGCTCGCTACGCACATCGATAGAATCTATAATCGTCTATAGCGTAGACGGGGGGTTTAATTCCATGGCTATAATAAATTTATAAATTAAAAAAGCACAACTGGGACGTTTTAAAATGCTGTAATAATTAAAATGGATCAAAGTGCCAGTTATAGCAAACCGTAAAAAAATATTAGATGTTATGTTTTATTATCTTTTTTCAATATTTTCTATATCTTGTTGCCTTTTACGCAGACACGCCAATGGATTTTCGTTCCCGGCACGCTTCATCCCCCTTACTAGTCCAAAAGCTAGCGATGAGTCACTCTCTATAATTTCGACCGCGGAGTATAGGACAGTGAATTGATCTTGAGGAATTGACAATAGATGGCGTAACTTATACTTTATTACATCGGACACTTCTATAACTATATTCATGTCGAAGCTCGTGTCATTAGGCTTGACTTTTTTTTACTTTGCTATTTTGGTTATTTTACGTCGGTCTACTTCTGCAACTATGGCTAAACACTGACATCGGAGACGAGCAACTCCCAACCTGGAAATTTTGCCAAACCCCCACTTTGTCGTAGGGTAGGGATCTTTTACTTGCCTAACATTGCTTAGATAAGGTACCACCAGCTTTACATCCATTCTGAGGAATGGTATGTCTTTCTATACAAACATCGCCTAAAGTATAACTTCTGTGAATACACCGACATACAGGCTACTAGAAGGTGGGCAAGCATCTTGAGTTTTCCTTGGATGGTCGCTCATCCAAGTACTAACCGCGATCAACGTTACTTGACTTTTCATATCGCTGACATGAATGACAAGTCGCTAGGCCACATTCGCCTTTTTACTTTTTATTATGTGTCATTTTGCAGAAGTGTAAACAACATATATTTTTCTCAGCTCCGAATATGAACATACTCCATCAATAAAAACATGTGCATATTGGTCTTGATGTTCTAGAAGTGGTGATTTTGATCAAGGTTGACAAAGAACACCCTATTCATCCGAAAAAGTTCGAAGATGAGGAATAATTAGAAGCATTACTCGACCTAGATTCATGTCAAACAAAAGATGAACTTTCTGAATCGTCGAATGTTGACAAGTTTTCAAACATTTAAATGCACTCAGTACGATTCAAAAGCAAGGAAATTGGGTGCCATACGAATTGAAGCTGAGAGATGTAGAACGGCGATTATTCATATGTGAACAATTGCTTCAGTGGCAAACAAGAAAGGGTTTTTTGTATCGTATTGTCACTGACAATGAAAAATGGATATGCTGTGATAATCCTAAGTGTAGAAAATCGTGGGGTTTGCCTGGTCGTGCTTCAACATCGACAGCAAGACCGAATATTCGCCATTTGAAGCTTATGCTCTGTATTTGGTGGGACCAGTTTGGTGTTGTGTACTATTAGTTGGTTCAGTTGAATGAAACCATCACTGATGAACTTTATCGAACACAATCGATACTTTTGATACATTGAAGGAAAAACGGCCGCAAAAGCACAATAAAGTAATTTTTCAACATGACAATGCTTGACCACTTGTTTTTAATGAAGTCAAAACATTGGAATGGGATGTTTTACCCTACCTACCATATTCACCAGATGTTTCTCCATCGGATTACTACTTGTTGAAAAGATGAGTTGTTCTTTCGACGTGGAATCCGTACACCTCTAGAAAGATGGGAAAAAATAGTGGCTAGCGATGGACAATATTTTAAATACTACCTAATGTATACAATTTTTCACAATAAAGTCTTGAATTTACATAAAAATCCCTCAAAATTAATTCACAGTCCTGTTAAATCACCATATAAAAAAATGCAACTAAATATATTACAAATGTCACTATAATAAAATTCAGTTGCTTTTTAAATATAATTGAAATCTAGTATCACAAGTGCTCTCGTTGGTTGCGCTAATAAACACGATTAGCGAAAAAACAACAAGCTAATATATGAGTTCTCTATATATTTTTCCTTTCTGTATGGTTATGTTAGTTTAATTGAATTTACAGAGTTTGCCTTTAATCATTTTGACAACAGACTGAGTAGATGTAATGGGAGGGAAAAAATGGTAATCAAAATTTGTACACTAAATACTCACTCATAATTAATTTTCATCTTTACTCAAATACTATTAAAACATTACTGGAATTATATGTATATATTTCTATATACCAGGGGCGTAGCATCTATTAAATAATTATTCAAATATTAAAGTGTGACTCGAGTTTGCACACTAAATTGCTCTTGTTACCCTTCAATATAATATATGTATACAAATTTTAAGATTCTTGACAAATTGTGATTTACATCTACCTATTATAATACAGGAATTAGTCACTCAGGACAATTTGCTACTTATACAGTTTTTATCAACGTGAGTATTTGTTATATAATGTCTGTCATTCTAATACATTCTTAATTTTATCTGGAGTACTGCAGTGTTCAAACTTGGGTCCATTCTTATTTCTCTAGTTTCCAATATAATATTTTCGCTAAAGACTCGATATATTTACCCTTTACATTTCCGCTCAAGATAATGTTATTGCTGATTGGTTGAATAGAATCTCTTTAATGAAACAGAATGTTGTGTTTTAATGTAATCTTGATCTTATTTTAATTTTACCGAAATGTAATTGCCAACGTGAAGGAAATAAAATTACTGTTTCAAACAAAGTTACTAGTCACGTGGCTTGTAATCATTTATACAGGCTCTGTATTATTAAAAATATAGATGTAATATTTGATGTTAAAATCTCATTTTCTGACCGTGTTTACCATGTGTCTAATACTGCTTTCAAAACTTTAAACTTTAATTAAACATTCCTTAACAATATTTTTAATATTCTCAAATGTCTATATTTTCTTTAGGTCATCCTTAAATATGATTCAATTGATATCCACATTATCGGACTACATTTAGCTAAATCAAAAATGTTTGATGTCTAAAATATTTATCACATTAATCATTATCCTGGTAGAGCATTAGTCACGACTTACTCTTGGAAAGATTTGAAATCATATTAATAATAATTAAGAAAAGTTCTAACAAATTTGTTATTTTTATTTCATCATCTTATTGACTAAGCCATTATTAAGGCTGTGTTCAGCGAATGGTCAGACCGGTCAAAGTCGTTCAGCGAACAAATATTTCGTTGGTCAGCCCAGTCAGCTGAATAGGAATATCGGACGAGTTTTAATACAGTTACTGAAGGCCGTTCAGCGAATTGTTTGACTAAAGAAGTTTGACCAAATTAGTCTGACTATTTGTTGAACACACCCTAAATTTGTGTACCTAAACTAGAATCTAGGGCTGTTAAATACACGTGGGTTTGATATTAATATGCCTCACCCTGTAAGTTCCATTAGTTAATTTTAATTGAAGTTTTGATTTATACAACTTAAATTTTTGTTTGGCATAATACAGTCAGAATATCGGATGTGTCAGAATTTACTGAAAATATATTTTAACACCTTTGATTTGTGCTGTGCTTTAACAAATTATACTTACTTTACATATTTATTCAACTCACATTTTTCTTCATGTCTACAAATTCATAATTGTTTCTAGAATCGCTTCCAAGGCCAACCAGAAAAGTACAAGAGGTTTCTCGAGATCCTCCACACATACCAAAAGGAGCAGCGCACGCTGAAAGACTCGGCAGGCATAGGCTCTGGGGTGAAACATCTGACTGAGCAAGAGGTATACAGCCAGGTGGCCAAGCTGTTCGAGAACCAGAGCGACCTACTTGCTGAGTTTGGTCAATTTCTTCCGGATGCCACTAGCCACATCAATCAGGCACCTATATCAGAACATTCGAATTCTGTTAAGAAGCCACCTAGTAAACCATATCATAGAGACAACATGCTGGATAGGCATAGTCTGCCACACAAGCCCAGCCATATTTCGGGGCCCGTGAAGCGCTCCCCGCCGTACTCGAATTACCAACACAGGGAGGCACCGCCAGTTAAAAAGCACAAAATATCCACTTCCTGTCGGGATGTTAGTCTCAGTGAGGCTGGGAAGTATGCAGCTTTAAATGATTATGCATTTTTTGATAAGGTAATTTAATATTAGTTTCAAACCTTTTAGTAGATATAGTTTTCAATCTTTTCAATTGCATAGCAACAAAGCTTAATATAAATTGTAGAAAGAACTACATCAATTACATTTTGGGATTGGATGCAAATGAGTCATTTTTTTATAAATTGCATACAATTAGTTCTTATTTTCTTATATCTACCCACTTGAAAATACAATAACATTTCTTTATTTGCACTGTGATCTAAGCAACATCTTTATTAGTTTGCTGTTGTACAAGAATCGGTGCAATATAAAATCAGGCTAGAGTGAAGGTTGTCCTTTTTCATAGGCAATTCTTCTCATTCACCTGAAACAGTTTTTAAATTTTGTTGTATAAAATGATTTTATTTTTAATAATAAATTAATTTATTTCTTAAATAATTTTGTTAACTTAACATTTACAATTTTTGTTAATTAATATTCTTGTACCTTAATTACAGTAGTATTGTTTTTCTTGTATCGCACATTATTTTTTTGCCACATATTTAAATATTTTTTTATATTTACAATATTTTCTGTTAATAAGCTTTGACTTTTCTGTTACAGTAATTAAAAAAGAACTATCTTATGTCCTGTCATTTTTATCAACACTTTATTTTTGATAAGCTTATAAAATAAATCCTGCATAACCTAGAACATTTATGTTTTGTTCTTACAGGTCCGCAAAGCTGTACGTTCTCAAGAAGTATACAACAACTTCCTCAGGTGCCTCACCTTATTTAATCAGGAAATTGTGTCAAAAGCTGAACTCATCCAGATTGTCACCCCCTTCCTAGGAAAATTTCCCGAGTTACTAAGATGGTTCCGCGAGTTTATGGGCCAGAACGAACCCGAGCCTGTGCCATTCAATGTGGCCCGATCTGAACGTCCCCAGGGTGACCATGCTCTGGAAATTGATCTAGCCACTGCCAAGAGATTAGGTGCGAGCTACTGCATTATCCCCAAGGCTCAGGAAGGGTTGAAGTGCTCCGGTCGCACACCACTCTGCAAAGAAGTGCTCAATGATCAGTGGGTGTCCTTCCCCACCTGGTCTGAAGACAGCACATTTGTCAGTTCTCGCAAGACACAGTACGAGGAGTACATGTACCGTTGCGAGGATGAAAGGTTTGAACTGGATGTGGTAATCGAAGTGAATGCTTCCACCATCCGTGTGCTCGAGGGGGTGTTCAAGAAACTAGGCCGAATGAACCCCGACGAGGTTGCCAAATATAAGCTAGACGACTGCTTGGGTGGATCATCGCCCACGTTACACCAACGTGCCATCAAAAGGATATATGGTGACAAAGCACCCGATATCATCGAAGGGTTGAAGAGAAATCCGATGGTGGCAGTACCCGTAGTACTGCGCAGGCTCAAGGCCAAGGAGGAAGAGTGGCGGGAGGCGCAAAAGGGATTCAACAAGATCTGGAGGGAACAGAATGAGAAGTATTACTTGAAGAGTCTGGACCATCAAGGTATCAACTTCAAGCAGACTGACGTGAAGGCATTGAGGTCGAAGAGCCTGTATAATGAGATCGAGACAATTTTTGACGAGGTGAGTAACATGTAAGTTAACTTTAGGTATACGAAGCAAGTTTTTACAGCACGTTGCAGTAGTTTAGATGAGGCTTTTTATGCTCTTTCTGTTGTTTATTTTAATGTTACATTTCATGTGGATTCAATTGATATAACTTCAACCTCTGAATTTAAATTGTAAATAGTTTTTTTTTTTGCCCAAAATTTGTAATATTGATTATAAAACTATTTCTGAAAATAAATCTATCTCGACAAAAAAATAATTTCTCAAAACTTTGAACTACAGTTTTTTTATACACTGTGCCAAAAGTCTCGGAATAGCAAAATATCTAGACTAATAGTGAGTAAAAAGTTCAGATATACTTCAGAACATTTCTTTTGTCATGTTTTGACGCGTAAACAAGGCCTTTATTCTTGAATTATAGGGAGTAGAAGGAACGAGGCAAAGGGGGCGTGTCTCTACTAAAACTCATTAATCGGTATTCTTGAATGGTGTTCTATCAAGTAATGATAGAAGAATTTTTCCCTATTTCTTCTACTGATAATTTCGGGGGAACAGGCAGGGATCATTAAACCTAACCCTGCATTTTTTGACATGTTTCACAAATTACGAATTCCGCAATCTGTCTGTCATATATCTAGTTACTGTTTTGTGGTGATATCCTTCGAGAACTTTGAGGAAACATTCGTATAATTTGTGTTTACTTGAAGGATTGTACAGTACTCGAATAAAATAATAATAGAATAAAATGAATCTACCTCAAATAGAAATTAAAATATTTGTAGGTTCTTCCCAGTTAGCCCTCATTTTGTCTCTCTAGTGCAGCTGGGTGTTAACTTTCCAGTGTACATTTGTTTTTTTACCCTCAATATATTCAATTAGAAGTTCTTTTTGTTTAGAACTTACTGAATTTAGCTTCAGTTTTTTATCGATTTCCATTTTCTTTCCTTTTTAGACTGCACCTGACACTGACAATCAAATTACAATAATAAGTAGCATTTATTTCATGACTAGCTCATCACTAGTTTTCATTCTACCGCCTATTTACTTCTTTCTGATTGGTCGGTATATTTGACAACATTGTTCCTCGTTCTTCACTTTCATGGCTCGATCCCCTTGTGTCGAGAATACAGTATGAATTTTGTGATAGAATAGTAGTAGAGCGAAATGAGGGAACATTCCCCAGGGAGCATTCTATTCTCTCACGTCAAGAATTGAGCTCCAAATGTCCCCTCGCCCAAAAAGGTTTCCCCATTTTCTTTTTAATTGCATACTATGACTTGTGATATGTCAATTGAAAGATAATTTCATTCTCTTTACAGTAATATAAAGTTTTCTGGAAAATTTTAGAAAACAATAGTTACAACTATTTTGACTTTAAACCCCAATTCAAAAAGTTATTTAATTAAATAAAGTTGACATTTTATAATAAAGTAACATTGTCAAAAAAATATTTAATTTGTCAAATATGCCTCTAAATGAAAGAGAAAGCGTAAAGATTTTGATTATGAGAAATATGGCGGTCTCAAAAGTTTATTCGACCAAGTGGTTCATGTATTTAATGATACGTTTCCAAATGGAATACCAGTATCAAAATCAACTGTGTGCAGAACAGTACATAGGTTTGAACTGAAACCATGAACGATAAGCCCCTATCAGGACGTCCAAGAAATGCAAGTAATGACAATAAGACTGTTGAAGTATTGCAGAGTTTTGTGGAAGATCTTCATACTTCTGTGCGTAAAGCTGATACAAGTAGTAGATCATCTATTTGCCGAATTTTAAAAACAAACTTTTAAACCTTACAAAATACATTTACTGCAATAGTCAAGATGATTATGATCGAAGGCTTGATTTATGTGAAATAGTAATGGCAAAAGTTGACCTAAACCCTAACATTATATTTAATATTTGTTTTTCCGACGAATATACTTTTACTGTTTTTACTGTTTAGTCAATAGTCACAATTTGAGGTACTGAAGTGATCAAAATCCTCACTGGATGAATAGAAGAAGATACCTCAAAAAATAAATACGTGGGTTGGTATTATTGGTACTACCATTATTAGTCCGTTTGTAATTGATGGTAACTTAAATTGCCAAAAATACGAATGTTACGTAATCGAATTGTATATGCTTTACAAAACTTGGACAGTAATTTTGACAGAGTATGGTTCCAGCAGGATCATACAACACCTCATTTTGCTATTGGAGTTCAGCAATTCCTGGATCAAATATTTCTGAATAAGTGATAAAACACCCCTAGATTACTTCTTTTCTAGACATTTAAAAAATAATATATAATTNTGTTTATTTTATATGAGGAAGAAATATATTGCCATTTTAAGTTAAGAAGTGATACTTTGTAAGCCACCTAACTTTTTAACACAGTAAGATGAGGATTAAAGAAGATAAATATTTTCACTAAAATTTTAAGACTATTTTTTTATATATTTAATTTTTCTTCAATTTTTAGAGACATGAACAAAATGAAGAGGGAGCCGAACCCGTAGTAGGTCCACATTTAGTTCTACCATACAGGGACCGCACCATACTAGATGATGCTGCCAATCTTCTCATTCATCACGTTAAGCGGCAAACCGGCATCCAGAAGGGTGAAAAGAGGCGCATTAAGCAACTTCTTCGGCAATTTTTGCCTGACTTGTTCTTTCATCCAAGGCAGCAACTGAGCGATGACGAACGAGAAGAAGATGGTAAGTTGAACCTTTTTCTAGTACCATAAATCGGTAAACTAAGGAATTCATATTTTTACAGATGATAAGGACGAATGTGAGGAGAGTTCTAGTAGTTCCCCAAAGTCGGAAAAAGACAGCAAGGGAAAGGGTAGCGTGAGTCCCGGGAAATCTCCTGCCCGTGCCGAAGGAAACAGCCCTGTGGACATCAAAAGTGAAATAAGTTTGAAGGAGGAGGATGTGAAAGTGCCATTGCATGCTCAAACTAATGATCCCGTAAGTTATTTTTATACTTTTTATCTGTTTTATTCATATTTAATATATTGGGGGTCATATTGTTTTCTCGTTAGCTGTTTTATCCAAATTTTCATGTACAAGTTGCCCAGAAAGTATAAATTAAGTGATTTTTCGCAAATTTAGTTTACTTATTAATGCTCGTTTGCACCGTTTATAATTTAAGCCAAGTTCAACCGAACTTGGTTTAATTTTAAAACTAGGTTTAATAATCAGCTTTTGCACCACTTACTGCCGATTGTAGATTAAATTAAACGGCTTTAAGAATACTGTTTAGGGAGTTTGTTAAGCTGCTAACTTATGTTCGGAAAAAAATATGTCAAAGTCAAATTCTTAAACCTAACGTAATAACCTAATTTACTTTATTGTGATAAAAGATTTAGTTTAGTAACCTAACACCCTAGGAAATGATGTAATTTTATAGAACTCATGTTGCACACTAACTATTTCTTCTGGGTTTGGCATTTTTATGTATCTCTGATAAAGCCGAGTTATTACAATTGATACTCGTACAATTATTCTGGACACTATTGATATGTCCATCCCTGAAAAGTCTGCAATGGCAGACAAATTACCAGCACAAGCATAGAACCGAAAAGCAGTCAGCAATTGTTGGATACGAGATACACTATTATTCCTAGAAATACAAAATCATATTAAGAATAAAAGCTTTTTATAACTCCAAAATTCTGATTGCCAGATGCAATGTGGTCTTTTTTGTCAACCTATTGTCTACATTTAGATTATGAAATAGATCATTTCTATTATGTATATTTGTCTGGGAAATCTAAAGTCTATAATTTCGTGAATATCAAAATCATCCAATACATCAAAGTCAAAATCTGAATCCATTTAAAAGTTCTCAATGATGTCTTAACACCACTCTCTCACTCATAGTCCACAGGAAAAAGGAAGAAATACCTATTTTAAAAAATTATAACTAGCAGCTAAGTACTGTCAATAGTGTCGATTTATATTTTCTCATTAATCCAAGTTTAAGTGGTCAAATTTTAGGGTTTAAATTAATCCTAGATTAATACATAGATTTGAAACGGTGCAAACAAAATGTTATATTTTAGTCCAAGTTCAGATTTAATCCTGGATTAAACACTACGGTGCAAACGGGCATAAGAGACACTTACATGACAGAAAATCAGCAGCCTACTATTATGTAAATAAGAACAATAAGGTAAGAATAAGCATTTTCATTAATACATACTTTTTCATTTGCCAATAAAAAAACAATTTCTAAAACAAATAAAGTCTTAAGGAGGAGCTTCCGAGTAGACAACGAAAAAAATAAGTAAATTTTAGCAATAATTATTATCTTAAAAACTGTTCGATTTTATCCAAATTTGTTTTATTTAAAGTATATACAGGGTGTCGCGCTTAAATGCGATACAAGCCTGTAACTTCTTTATTTTTTGGTCGATTTCAAAAATTTTTATTTTGGAATGTGGGCTAAAAAAACTTATCTAACTGTGATATTGCTGTTTTTATTAATGCAATTCACGGCCAACTAGGACGCGTTTTCTTGACATCAAAACAGCTAATTGGTATTAGCAATTTTTTTTTTTTTTTTTTTTCAAATAACAGGTTACGTATTCTCATTTAGCATCCCTTAAAACGTCTTACCACTAAGTTTCATCAAAATCGATATCATCTTTAAGTGAGCACTCCATGATGTCGCGAAATGTAATACGTGGCCAATTTCAAAAATTTTTTTTATGGAATCTAGGATAAAACAAATTCTAACTGTGATACTGCTGTTTTTTATTAATGCAATACACAGCCAACTAGTGCTCGTATGAAGATGTATCGAATTTTATGAAACTTGGTGATAAGACATTTTAAGGGATGTTGGATGAAAATACGTAATCTGTTTTTTGGAAAAAAATCGCTAATACCAATTAGCTGTTTGACATCAAAAAAACGCGTCCTAGTTGGCTGTGTATTGCTTTCATGAAAACAGCAGCATTACAGTTAGGTAGAGTTTTTTTTATTCTACATTCTAAAGGAAAAAATTTTTGAAATCGGTCATAAAATAAAGAAGCTATAGGCTTGTATCATATTTAAGCGCGACACCATGTATGTTGAGATATGCTGACAAATTTCTATATAAATACACAGATTGTTACAAATTAGTAGGTCAAGCAGTTAACCACATATTCTTTGAACTAAAATAATGGGACTTTTCTTATGCCACTTCATTTCCAAGCCCCATTTTCAAAATACAGGGTATTAAAATTAAAATTAAAAAATTATTTTTATTGATAACTCTGGTGATATATTTATTTGAAATTTAGCACATTTTCAAGTTTAAGTCGGCATGCTTTTTGTGTAATTTTGGTTTAAAATGTCATGCTCCCAACGTAGGGGAAGGGGGTTGCAGTACCCATCGGCCCCCTATTTTTTTTGAGTACGTCTGCTTTCCAAATATCTTTTTTAGATAAAGCGGAGTATAACTTGTAAGATTTTCATTTGGGGCTCGGTTTACAAGATATTGTAACTTTAGGATACGCGACATCAATTTAGTCGACATAAGACTTTAATTTTTGGGATTTTATGAAAAATTTCTTTTATATGGTACCAATGCTAACTAAACAACAATTAGAAAAATGAATTGNTGTTTTTCCGATGAATATACTTTTACTGTTTTTACTGTTTAGTCAATAGTCACAATTTGAGGTACTGAAGTGATCAAAATCCTCACTGGATGAATAGAAGAAGATACCTCAAAAAATAAATACGTGGGTTGGTATTATTGGTACTACCATTATTAGTCCGTTTGTAATTGATGGTAACTTAAATTGCCAAAAATACGAATGTTACGTAATCGAATTGTATATGCTTTACAAAACTTGGACAGTAATTTTGACAGAGTATGGTTCCAGCAGGATCATACAACACCTCATTTTGCTATTGGAGTTCAGCAATTCCTGGATCAAATATTTCTGAATAAGTGATAAAACACCCCTAGATTACTTCTTTTCTAGACATTTAAAAAATAATATATAATTTATTAATTTATTTTTTGTTTTATAATTTTATAATTTAAAAAATTATAAAACAAAGCCATAGACCACTTGAGGAACAGAATATTTGAGGAATCGCAGCAAATTACTAGAGAAACTTTAATAAACATTGTGACGTTTGAGATATTGCCAAATTGAGGGTGGGAGACAATTTGGACATTTATTAAAATAGATTTTTTATTCAAAGTATAATCGCATAATTGTTTTATTTTTTCAGTTGTATTTTTTAATAAAGGTGTCTATTTAAGAAAAAATAACTATAATTCCTTTGTTTTCTAAAAGTTTGCAAAAAACTTTACTACTACTGTAAAGAGAATGAAATTATCTTTTAAATGACGTATAGGGGGAACCTTGTGGGGGTAAAGGGGGTAAATGTAAACATTTGTTTGCACGTCAAAAAATGACAAAAGAAATGTATTTTCTGAAGTATATCTGAAATTTACCTAAAACTCACTATTAATCTAGATATCTTGCTGTTCCGGTACTTTTGGGGCATGGTGTATTTATACTGTATCAAATTAACCCTCATAAAATCTTGCAAAATCAATATTTTGCCACTGTTGTTGCCCTCATCATATCATCAAGTACGAATGTACTCCACAGTGGGAATTTTTGCAATATTTCTGCCCCACTTGTTACTTATTTAAAGCCATATTTTTTAAGAATATTTCGCTAGTCGTTTTCCCCATTTTAAGTTAAATCGTACAAATTTGTATGGAAATATCAATAATAATAATAAATCATACACGTAATAATAATAACACAGTGCTACAAAAAAAAAAAAATTGCTGGACAATGGACCAAACCAGCTTAAAGTTTCAGCTACTTTAACCCTAAACTCGATTCTCTAAAGCCATAATTTCATCAAGACGTACATACACTAAAACTGCTGGATCTTTTCCACTCCGTCACAAGCAGTATTCATATAAACTAATAAGAAGGCAAGGTATTCAGATTTTTTAATTTTTGATATTTATGGTACGTATGGACCTTGAATTTTCCGAAGTAGTTCCTACATAAGTATTACCTTACCTTCTCCTTGTAAGATGAAAAATTTTCGGAAAATTACTCACTGTTTTCATATAATTGAAATGTCATCTTGACAATTCCCAAATCTGTATATAACCCAAATTTTAATACCGGTATTACTGGTTACGAGAATATGCCAAAAAAATCGATATTTCAACGCTCAGAAAATATAAACAGTTAGTACGAAGATGCGATCAAAACAACTGTCAAATTTTTAATCTGAATGTCAGCGGTGATTTGTATTAACTGCGGTAGTCGAACTAATACCCAACAAACGTCCACCATTTTCTTTCACTCTAATACACATAAAATATTGGAACGATTGTGATAGATCGAGACTGAAAACATTTTTACCGTCATTGCATCTCTTTTTGGCACGTTTAACAAATAATGAATTCACTTCCGCAACAACTGTCTTTGATATTAAGACACACTCGTGACATAATGGTAATCTTAAAACGGTTCTAGTTTACACACACCTTAAAAAATCACCCGGGGTTTTTTCTCTGTATCTAAAAAAATGTAATAGCGCTTTCTTCAATGTATAGTCGATGATCGTGAGTTTTTACAATCAAAATTGTTCAATTAAAGTAACAGATTAAACGGTTATAAAGTTCTGGTGTAGAAGAGTGTCCTCAAAACACAAACTGATCGGGCAATCCTGATTAGATTCAAATTCAACAAGTTAAAATACTATGAGTTACATTGGTCTGGTCCACAGCTCAGCCCTATTTATTTTATTTATTCATTATATTTTTTGTGGCGCTGAGTAATTACTATTATTATACAAGATGTTGAACCAAAAATACTTCTGACTTGGCAGTGGCTTGTGCTGAATGATGCATCAGTAGAAATTATGAAAAAAAGAAGTAATGATGGTGATAATGGTACAGGTGATAGTGATGAAAATGACGATGA